GGGCAGGAGGGGTTGGGGGATCAGTGGGAAAGGAGGGAGTCATGGAGGTGGGGGGTCCATGGGGCAGAAGGGGGCACTAGGAGTACCCATGGGCCAGGAAGGGGAGCTGTAGGGGGCGTTTATGGGGCAGGAGGAGATGCTAGGGGTGGCTCTGTGGGGCAGGAGGAGATGCTAGGGGTGTCCATGGGGCAGGAAGGGGAGCTGGGGGTGACGGAAAGTTGCTGTGGTGACAGAGGGGACGTGGGACAGGAGGGGGTGTTGGAGAGGACGGGAGGCAGGAGAGGACGTGGGACAAGAGGCAGGACCCGGGGGAGGCTGCAGGAACGGGCCCAGCCCCGGGCGCTGTTCGGTGGGAAAGGGCAGGAAAAACCTGCCCTTTCGGTAGAGCCAGACCCAGCCGGCGCCTGCGGCTGCCGCTCACGGGCTGGGGACTCGTGGTGGCACTGGCAGGAGGGGTCACCACGGGGCAGAGGGACAAAGTCCGACACGACGGAGCAGCCTCCAAGGCTCCGAGCGCAGGGGGACTGGGCGGGCGGTCCCCCTGGGGAGCCCCCTTCTCCTTTCTCCTTCCCGCCTGGTTTTGCACACAGGGGAAGGTGCAAAGTGTCAAAGAGCAGTCACAGTAACCGAGACTCCAGCCTCTACAGCCTTTCCTAGCAGGACTGACACGGGGGCCSGGCCGTATCCTTCAGCAACGAGCGCTGGCACTGGCATTCCCAGCTGGAACATCCCGTGGCACCAGGAAGCGCAGCAAAACACCCTGCCCTGAAAGGCAGCTTTGGAAAAGCTGATCCGTTCTGCTCCTTGCTCYGGCTGGAGCAGCTCCGAGTGGCTTCGGGGAGACATGCTGGGTGCTGGGAAAAGTAGGACACCCCGGCTCGCCGCCGGCCGAGTCCTCTCAATTGGGGCGTAATGACACTTGCCCCTTTCATGAGGCTCCAGCTCTTTCTGATCTCGGGAGGGAAAATAAATCACGGCGCGGCATAAAAGTCATCAAAACGGGGTGAGCCTGGGAAGGGCGCGGACGCCCGGAAAATGAGAGGAAAAAAGGATGTCATGGAGAGCTCCGTCCCCTGCAGGGTTAACGTCCCCCCCCCGCGTCCCCTCCCCGCCCGCCGCCGCTCCTGCCATTGGCTGTCTCGGAGGGTTTAGGCTAAAAAGCCTGTAATTAGGG